CATCTGCATCGCAGCCTTAGGTAACCGGACGGATCATAACAGGTGGACTATAACACGGCTCTTATCTGTAAAGGATGGAGCTAACTTATCCAAAATCTCATGCCGTAGAGAAGAATGTGAACTCCAGCCAGTTTCTCAATCCAGCATACTTTGGTTTGGGTTCCTTTGCCTGCGTCAGGCAAGCCCTAACTGAGAACTTAACTTCGTTCTGCAAGGTAATGTAGCAATAACATAATTGTAGAATCTTGTGTAATAAATATTACCCTTAATAATAAGCCTTAGATTCTTAATTTTGTCAGTTTGTTTCCCCTACATGCTTACTATGCTTAGAGGTCACATAGTACAGTCAACACAGAACAAAAAATAGTTTCACTAGTACCATGTTATGGCAAAACACCTTTGATGTAATGGAGCAATACCGGCCGTGTTATTCTACGTGGCATTACATTGGCCATTCACTGAAAGCTCTGTCTCAGAAATTACAAAGTGCCCACAAAATCTGCTCAATGGGTGGTTGGGGAAGCTATGAATTTTAGGATGAGGTCCTACAACAATTCAGTATTTTAAGGTACTGTAACATCTGGAGACATATTTGTCAAATATAAGAAGTTTCACTTTTCCTTCAGGCCTTAAACCCAAACAGACATCTAGTTTACATATGACTATATAAAAAGCATTTGAGGTAAGTTCTATCCCACTGGTTTCAAAGGAACTACATGCAAAGAAAACCTACATTCTCTTAAAACCTCATTTTTGGTTCACCAGCTTGGAAAAGCTATTGATGGCTTCTCACAAAAAAAAAAAAAAAAAAAGACCATCTCTTGGAAAGCAATCAAATATGGTTACAATAGCCCAGTCTCTATTTTACACAAACCATAACAAATTGTTTTATGCTTCAGTAGAAACTACAGAAACTACAGTAATACTCCTCAGGGGAAAAAAAGTGCTGTAATTGAAAATGTGGAAAACACTGTTGGTTAGCCAGCTCAAGAATGTTAGCAGTGTGCAGTATACTGCCCTGTTTAATAAAGAGTGTCTTGGAAATTTCTTACAAGGGTCAGCAGAAAGCAAGCCCTAAGTCATCCTATTGTAATGAAAATACAAAATAACTTCCGGAAAACTCTGTAGATGTGGTGAGGATTATTGAAGGCATAAGTAATAACAGTAAGTAATATATGCACGGTGATCTGTACCAGTTAATGAAAAGAGCCTCAAACAAAGCACTTGAATTTTAATGTGACCAAAGCTTTATATACATCTAAAACCAAGAATGGTGCTGCATTCTGTATCTTACAGGGTGTTACCTGTTCAGTGTGAGTTCTTGCTGTGACAGCTGTGGCTACGAGGAATAAAACTGTATTTTGATGTAAAATAGGAGAGAAAAATACTCACTTGGGAAACCACTGTATTCTGGTGTCTACACTTACATTCTTGAAATTATTTGTCATACAGGGTTGGGAAACTGTCTGAAGGGGTTGAGGAAGAGAGGGTTAAGAAGCCGGCAAACTGGCAGGCAGCTGCACCCCATAAGCAACTTGATGAGGCAGAGATAAAAATCTGCTTTCAGCTGAAAGGAAGGCTTTAGAGATTGAAGGGGAAGTCAGAACCAGCTGGTAAGCAGAGGCTTCAGTTTTCTGATCCTCCCTTTGAAGGAAGAGCCATAATGCACTCGAGGTTTGGTGGAAGGTGCCTGTTTGCAGACCTGGTCCAGATAGCCCAGTGCAGCCACTTTGTTCCTATTAACCTCTTAACCCCGGGCTACCTGGATCAGACTGCGCTGACAGTGGTCACGTCTCACCTGGCAGAGAAAGCAATCTAAGCAAGAAGACACCTCTCTCCTCATTCCCAATAGCTGGGACAACCTGGCTACACAGCTCTGCTCTTGTTTAACCTACAGAAGTTTATCACCATGAATTGCCTATAAAGATGAAGCAAGGTATTTTCAGACAAGATGGCAAGTGTCTAGAACTCACTGTTCAAATCACAAGTAGATCATTGTCTTTTTAAAAGACCAGCTCTGTTAAATCAGAAGTTGTGTGTTTATAGCAAAAACTACTTAGTGGTGGTCGTAGCCTATTTTATGCAGGTCAGGCTTTGTGATCTTGCCTGTTATGAAACTGCTTGTATGAGCAAACTGCACTTTCTATGTCTTTTTTAATTTTTTACCAAAGCTTTTGCTTCTCAACTGCCTTTTTGCCCTTAATTCGGTATGGATATGTATGTAATATTTCTCATCAGGCAGAATACAGAGTAATACTTTACTGGAAGTACGGAGGCAGAATGAATTGGACAGAAGAAAGACATCAGACTTTGCTTATAATATGAATATATAAGGATGGAGAAGTGATTGGTTGGGAAGAGGGGGAAAAATGTAAATGCTTCTAAGCAGTGAAGTTAAATCTACTCTTTTGCAAACACAGGTGGCAGCTTGACACCTGGGAAAACAGAAAATTTGATCTTTGACTGCAAAGCTGGTACACTGCATAATAAAACAGTGCTTACCTGTTTTAGAATACCTTTTGTCCTCTAATTCCTCTTTCTTTCATTAAACAACTACAGCTACTCTGCATACAGAAACCTCTGGAACATCAGGATCTCAGATCTCCTGCTTGAACCTCCCAGTACATACATACATTTGTGTGTATGCATCATGCAAACACACCCTGGGGTAGAGGGGATTATAGAGGAGCCACTAGGAGATGAGTGGGAAAGGGGAACCAACAGATGAATATTGAGCAAAGGTCTGACTGGGGAAAACCTAGCTCGTGTAGAGGGCGTGTTGGCTCTGTGTAGAGGGCGTGTTGGCTCTGTGGCACCTGGAGCCCCATCTGCCACATTTCCACAGCAATTTCAGGATAGAGAATACTGAGAGAAAGGATGACAGGTTGTTCTTTGTGCCGCCTGATCCTTTGCCCTTCGGGTCTGTGCCTCTGCAATCACAGCATACTCTATTTCCCATGAGAAAAAAAAAGCATCTCTTAGGAAATACCTTGGTATTGTTTTAGGACAGCACTAGTTGGCTATTTATATTTTAATTAAAAATGTAAGAACAACTGTACCAGTTCAGATCAAGAGGCTGTCTAGATCTCAAGCAGTAGCAGATGCAGATGCTAAAGAACCATCAGTATATTCCAAAAAGGGTCTGAAGAGGACAAGCCAGAGAAACACTTCTCTCTCAATACTCCCCCACTCACCAACTATTTTCAACTCTGGGTATTTCATAAAGACAGTATCTTTTTTTTCTCACCAGGAACCGCCAATCTCACATATATGGGCTTGCTCAGTATGCCCCTTGAATTCATGTAAACTTCTTGCACCCACAAAGTCCTCTGGAACTTGAGCAGATCTGCTACTGCTGCATGAAGAACCTCCTTTTGATTCTGACTCCTAGTTCAACAGCCCCTAGTTCTTCTGTACAACTTCATCATTTCTCCATTAAGTCCTCTCTCTTCCAGGCTAGAAAAAAACAGCCCTATTCAATCTTCTTTACAGAGATGTTATTCCATATCGTGGGTGATTAATACCCTTTTCATTACCCTTTTCCAGGTCTAATAGATCATTGCACAGTATTCCAGATGTGGAAAAATCATGGATTTATACAATGGTGCAATGATGTTTACTTTTTTGTTCTCTATTATTTTCCTAATAGCTTCTAATGTTTGATTTGCTTTTTTTGACTGCCACTAAGCTGATGTTTTCTTGGAGTTATCTGTCATGACCAGAGAGTCTTGCACTAGAGCAGTAATAGGCTGCTCAGAGCCCATCACTTCATATGTTCCATAAAAGCATGTGGAGAAGCAAGATTTTTCACCTAGTTGTCACTGGTAGGAGAAACACAATTCTAGAGGATTTTAATTTTGTTTACTCTTAAGTCTCAGTTAAATTCGATTAGATGTTGCACTCCAGCCTTAGCTGCTGTTTTGTCCTTACAGGGCAGGGGCCTATTTGATATTCAGGTTGTTAGGAGCAGAGTCCTGGTTCTTTTCCATCCACAATGACTTTTTATCTGCTCTATTATTTTATTTAAAATGTATTTTAACAAGGTAACTTGCAACACTTAGCTAGCAAGATTGGATCTGAAATACTTCTTACATGATTTCAGAGTTTTAATTCTCTTTATATGTCACAGTGTTTCAGTAGTAAGAAAATTCAGCAAGCAGAAAGGGTTAAACAGAGTTTAGGGTATGTTTTAAAGACTACTATTTACTGTGCTGGCATTAACTAACGATCAGACCACAAAGTGACTGTTGCAAGTTTGAAGGAAAACTCTTATCCCATTAATATGTTCCTTGTAATAAATTGTGATATCACTTCAAAAAGAAATGGAAATCCTTGGAATATACCAAAAAATCTGGACTTAAAAATTGCATCTAATCATTAATAGCTAGGATGATTTATAATCTAAAATTGTCAAGGAACATGCAAATACACTCCTTCTACTTTTGCTATACCAGCAGAGGGGAAAAATAATCTTTGTATTACAGTATAACAACAGCACATGGAGTGACAAAACAGAATAAAGTTACCTTGTTTTGTAAGGACACTGGTTTTTGTGACGGCTGTCAGTATCTTCAACAACTCAAAAGATTGTATTTCATTCTATGAAGTGAAATAATACAGTACTGTACTTACCCTTAAGCAGAAGTCACTCTTTTGTTCTAAATATTTTCCTGTTTGAACTGTTGAGGTTATTTAACAGTCAATTTACTTTGTTTCAGATAATTAATACTATGCACGAG